TTTTTAGCAGACAGACAAGTGACGCCATGCAGCCACATTTAATTCAGACGTCAAGAAAAAATGTTTAATGGTGTTATGGCCAATGTGTAAGGAAAACCTTTAATGGCTTTGACAACCAGAGACTAACAGTCTTGTTGACCACTACCGTGCACTGATATCTTTCAAACCTCAGGGCTGATTGGTTTTCCAGCAATGTAAAACATGCAAAGTGTGACCACTATTTAAAATTAAGTGACAATTTTTAATGGCATTTATGCCCTCAGCAGTTAAAAACTCCTGCCAAACCCAATGGCCCCCCTCCAAATCTTTCTCTAACATAAAGGAAGTTAAAATAAATTATTTCATTTAATAGAGCCAGCCAGAGAATGTGCATGCTGCAATGTTCTTGTTAAAAGTAGTAAATGTATTTTGTGATGGTCTCAAATTGTGAATGAAACTGCCTTGTATTTAATGGGTCCATACTCTATGTATACACACAACCTTTGTCAAACTTTGTATTGAAGCTAAAATCATTTTGTTCATAACGTTTTATTTCTTTCAACATCTTAATCCACTTTTTCTTTACATATTTGCAAATGTCTTAGCTTTGTCTATGGTTGCATTCGAATTTTTACAGATTATAAAATGGAACTTAGTTCTGTTCACCAACAGAAAGGACAGTGGTTATATAAAGCTTGTCTTATTTTTTCCTCTAGGTGTTAGAAAGTTTTTGCCTTTAAAAACTGCAGCTGGTCTATAACAACATGACAACAGAAAATGTATTTGGTGAACACCTGGAATTCTAAACAAATCTCAAAAACGTTTCACAAAAAAAATATTTTCTGAGTTGCAGATGATTACTTTTTTATCAAGAATTGTGAGATGTCACGGCAAAGGAAAAATATTCAAATAATTCACATTTGTTGCAGACTGGAAAAAAACAAAACAATGACTCAAAATCCCTTGGATGATATCTTTTTAGACTCATAAGCTTTACTTGCAGCAACAAATGATGAATATATATATGTTTTTTTACTTTCTTCTTTGAATAATTTTAAAAGTAATACTGAACAAATACTTGGAAACTTGGAGCTGGGATACATCAAAGCAGGAGCACTCAAAACATTTAAAATTGCAAGCCATTATGAAAGTGAATTAAACTAGGAGTATAAGGATATTGGTAAAATGTTATTTTTTACTTCATAGTAAGATGCCACAAATAACATCCATGTTAAGTAAATAAAATCTTCATGAACCATTATGCGGAACTATGGGTTGCTCTGGAAACATTCAGTTCAGTCTCGTGGTGTGCTTTTATGGCACACATTATGAAAATGTTTGTCTTGAGATTGTACCGATATAAAAAAAACATTACTAAAGTCATTAAAAGATATGTCTTATGGGAAGGGATATAATGGGTTAAAATACTTTAAAAATCAAGGAGGTCGGTGAGAAGGAGATGGGACTGAGCATTTAATAGGTGATATCTTGTCTGGTTGGTCTCCTTGGTAATTCTTGCCGCGTGCTTCACTAGGTATTTTGTTGTAGGGGGAGGAGGAGTGTTTTTTTTTGTTAATCTAAGAATATATCCACAGAAAGCTGAGGATGGCAATTTTATGGTGAAGTTTTCATGCTTTTCTGGTTTGTTATTCAAGAACTGAAGAAATGGCAGGGACCTTCCTGTTCATTTATTAAAATATTTTTTTTCTTCTGTATTGACAAATTCATTATCAGAAAAGTGTTTATCCTCAAAGGGTCACATCATACTGGTACATATTTACTTTTATGGCAATTCTGGCACGAACACTTGATTGTAAAACTCTAATACTTCCCCTAACTACTGTCTTCCACTGTGAATGTTTCAGATAAGGCCAAGTTTTTCTTTTTTGTTTCTAATGATAAATATTTGCTTATAGTCATGCCATTGCCTCTTCAACATGAACTGGTATGGAGATAATGGTTTTGATCAGACGTCTGTGCTACTTGAACACAAAATGACACAAAATGAACACAATTTTTTTTTAATTATGTCAACTCTCAGGAAGGAACGGGAAATGCAATTAACATTCATCTGACAATCATTCCCATTAATAGGAGTCATTTTTTGGCACTCTAAGAAAGTCAACAAAGTTTAAATGACTATAATGAGTACCTTAATGTTTTGACACATTGAGGAGTGCCTCTGTGTGGTATTTGGCTTGGAAATTTGATCTATAGAATACTGTACATGTTGTTTATACTGAATACACTAGCTGCAGACATTCCCTCGTCTCGAGATTTCTGAGGCACCAGTGTTTTGGGAGTACTGTAGCTCAGAACTATATATAAAGAGATCTAGTTACCTTTTGGTATTCTAGACGTTTGAAGGTTATTCATATTTAAAGCTAATAATGACAGAACAGGAAAACCTGTCAGAAACCTCTATTTGCACAAAAAGAAAAACATGCCACTTTATTACAATACATACCTTAAATACACATAACCTGATCGGATATTTGTGTTTTAATTAGGCAAAAGTTACCTCATAATCTTTTAGTGTGTGTCTAAGGAGTCGTTTTCTATGATACTTAAAGGAGAAATATATGGAATTGGGGGAGGGAAAACCATCATGGAAATAATCTCAAAACACCCTCAATTGAGACAAATGACTTAACCGGAGACATAACAGCAGTCATAAAGGCCATAGGGACGCCTACTTTCTATCAGTTACTGTTGACTAATGGAAAGTTGTTCAACCATTGTGTATAAGGAAGCCGAATCAGTTGTGCTTTGCAGACAATGAATGACTGGAAAAAGGCCAGCCTGGCTCCCAGCACAGAGGTGTACTATATCTGGTAGACGGCAGTTCTTTGGCTTCAATTTTGACTCTTTATTGTTACACAATGCATGTTCTGTCCCACTTAAACAAACACTATGCCATAGAAAACACTCTTCACATTCCATGCTCAGAGGCTCATGTTTCTGACAAATCCCAATGACCTTTCTCCTCAGCCATCCTTCGCCATGGAGGTAACGTCCTTGTGGGAGGCAGAAGGCACAACGTCTTAATACTTTTCACTCCACCTCTTGAGGCCAAAGTATGAATCCCACTCAGACCACAGACTGAGCAGTTAAAATTTTATGCCCCCCCCCGAATGTTCATTGACATCGCAAAACCACAAAACTATCCAGTTCAAGTTCACAATGTTTGTCCCAGGGGTAATTGCTGGCAAGGAGGGGGCCTTCAAAGTTAAGACTGTGAGATACTTCTAGGAAGTACCTACTATAGAAATTAATGTGCAGAAGGCTGTGTTGTTTTTTACCCAGGCCCCTTTAAAAAAAAATGTTTGGTCTTCCTAGGGGGGGTTTGGCCATCTCCTTTCAATGAAAAAAAGGTCATGATGAATGGCTTCTCAAATGTACAACTAGATCTCAGCTGATTCTCAGCTCAGCTTCAGTTCCTGGAGTGGCAACACAAATCCAGAATTTTTGCTTAATCAGCACTATTTTTTTTTACTTTGAAATTTGTACTGGGATTCATATATGGGTGTATAAATTATACTAAAATACAGGTATGCTTATCTGTCAGTTTCAAGATTTAAGCCTGTATTTTTTGTCTTAAATTAAGAAAATGGACTGTCTTTTAATGTCATTGATCATAGTTGTGGAAAATTGCATTAAAGAATACTAAGCATCAGAAGAAACATAGCACATGTAACTAAGACAAATTCTCTCTGAAAAGATACTGATGATAAATACCTTTACCTACAGTTTAAAACTATTAATCTTGGGAACATTTCACATTAAGGGCACCAACATCCTTTCTGCTATACTGTAATAAACCTAACCTTATCATTTGATGTTTAATTTGTGATGGTGTTTTCTACCCAGTGCTCACCATTTGTATTCCACATCTTTTTATCTTGATAGTGGCATTGATTGATTCAATTTTAATTTGCACACACAAGAATCCCATAAAATTACAGGTGGAATGGTATTTGAATTAAAGAAAACAGTTCTTAAGTGATATTTAATTCAAACTTTATTTACTCTGAGATGTCTGGCTATATTGTATATTCCTGAAACACAGTCAAGAGACTCATCAGAAATCAAATATCTAAAGAGAAATGGCAAAAAATCACCTGCTTATGTAACCCCAAACTAAAATTTCCCATATTATTAGATTCTGACTGAATAAGAAGTACACTAATGATCTGTAAAATATTGAATAAACTGCATCTAACCTACTGAAGTTTAAACTAAACCTACTGAGGCATGCTTCCTTGTTGTGGTTCTCCGCACACAACACAACGGCAGACCTGGTTCCAATATCCTTATTGACATCTGGGGGATCTGAAGTTATGTTAATGAAAGCCTGTTTACTCAAAGTGAATAATGGCCTATTTAACCAGTCCAGACCACCCGAGAGGCATACTGTTGGGAGATTCATATGTTAAAGCAGAATATGCACTGCAGGAAATGCTGAAGTCCAAAAGTAAATTTAGAACACGTCTTAAAAAAGAGGAGTAATGAATCACTCAAGTCTGACAACTATCTGTTAACCTGCTGTCTTCAAAACCCCTGCAGAATAAGAGCACACATTCAGTTACGATATATAAATAAACTGCTGAATAGTGCAAAATTGCTTCCAATGAATGATGGCTTATACCATTAATTTCAAATCCTATTTAATATATACAATGGAACTGTTAAAAACACACTAAGGATTAGTTTTGTAGACCCTGATCAGCAATAGTCCTAGACCTGTGTAACTACAATGGTTTTAGCATTAGTGATAATCAGCATCTGTAAAACCACTGTAAGATTGAGTAACACTTTCAAAAAATACAGAATGTTCATTTCGGATTGAAAAATACTAAGACATGTTCATCTGCCAGCTAAACTAAATCTACTTACTGCTTCAAAAATAAAAACAAAAACACAACTAAGAACCAACGTTTTTCCTACCTGTCTGAAGGACTATGTCCTTTTTGAATTTTCCTAAAAAACATTCAATTGCATCATGATGAGGCTAGCTGACGGATTTCTGGGAGTTTCACAATTTTGCACTTTATTTCATCTTCAAAGATAACAGCTCATGTAAAGACTGAAGCATGTAATGTATGATGTAAATTATTAAACCAAGCAATGCTTTGTACTACACATCAATCTTAATGTACAAAAAAACTCACTTATTTAGGATCATCAACACAAAAGGATTCCACATTAAGTCAAGAAGTGAATGTTCCATTGTGAAATATAATTCAGAATATGTCCTCCAGAAGAAGAATTTTAAGAACTGCTCCTCAGTTAGATCTTGCTTGGGGATAAAGTTACATTTTACAGCTTTTTACAAGTGCAGAAGATTCATCTTTAGATTCCTATTCATTAAAGAACAGCAGTGAAACACAATATAGAATAAAAAAAAAACTGATAGGTGACTGACTGGACCAAAACATCACCCATGTTTACTCTCAGCATTTAAGTTCATTTTAATATTATAATTGAAATATTCTTTAAAACAAAGCGCCGCATTTTAGATTGGGGATTAATATAACCTTGGCATTGTATGAAAATCTTCTGTTAAACGAAAGTGAATTTTGAGACAATGTACACTGTACACTCCAGGAATGTTCTAGTCAAGCAAAAAGTAATGAACCTAAGTCATGGTAAATAGTTTTCCTCATCTACCTTCAAATTCTTTACAAAGTAATATCCATTTTCAAATTATTTTCAAATAAGAATTTAATGATTTTCAAAGCAGAATTTATGACAATAAACAATGTGTTTTAACAATCACTTGTGTTGTTATTGTTGAGGTCAGTCTCCCCATCAGTTACCATAAAAATAATGGACTTTGTAAATTACTGTGAAGTTCTAAAATTACACAGGTAAAAAAAATGAAAACCGTCCAGTAGTTAAAGACAGTGGTCTACAGCCCACTGTAGGAATGTTGGAACAAGCAAGTCCATCAAAACAACTTTACTTTTTAATCACAAATTGCAGGGAAAAACAACAACTGCCAAACTTCAGTTGTGTGGTCAGTACAAAAGATAACAATCTTGGGGTACTGAAAGCAATATGCATGCACTACTGGCTCTGTCACTTCTCACAGAAGATTCTTTTAAAACTTGGAGGACGTTAAGGTCTCTTTTTCCAGAAGCAGGTCAGCATATCTCTGTTGAAGCTCCTTCTCTCGCTCCTGCTGCCGCTGGACATCTTCTCTGAGAGCCTGACATGAACAACAGGAGAAATATGTAAAACACTAGTTTTATTCTGTTTCAAACATCTCTGTCTCAAAGGTTAAGGCAATTTCCATAAAACACATTTTATTTCCTTTTAGACAACACTAAAATTAGAGAATTTCAATGGCAGAACGGACATCAGCTATGTGGTTAATTCTCTGCCAACATAGCACTGCAGTGATGTGTGCGCCATCATGGCCATTGTTTCTTTGTATTCTGCTATAGAAGTAAAACATTTCTGACTGAAAAGACTTAAATAAATGGAATTCCTAAACAACTAATTGTGCCATAAGATCTCTGTCATTCAAAGAATGCATAATTCATTTTAAAATATAATAATGTTCTCACTGTTCCCAAGCAGAAGAAACAATGAAGGCTGTAAATTGCAAAAAGCTGAAGAACAACTATTTAAATGAATGGTTTTAATACTTTAAATGAATGCTCTTGGTTCACAAGCACATCTGGGACTTGTACTTTATGAAGTGTATTCAAGATGAAATTAGATGTCTAGGAAGTTAATGCAAACTAAAGACAAAATGATTTCTGAGCATACAAAGGGTTTTTGTTTTAAAAAATACTTTGCTGTACATAGACATTTGTTTTCTTTACCTTTCTCTATTACTTCTTTAGGTTTATATAAGTATATCTTCAAATTTCAAAATATTCTGGAATCACATTCTGTATGGAGTTTGCATGTACGCCTGGGATTTCACTCACCTTCCAAAGTCATACTGCCTAGCTTGAGTTGTCTAAACTGTCTCCGTATCTCTGGGGATGTTTGCAATGAACTGGCGATGTCCTATGCAGAGTAAAGCCATGCCTTGCTCCCTGTGCTTCTGCTTTAGAGTTACCTTCACTCTTACCAAGAATACTGTATGTGGCTCTCTGATAATGAATGGATGGAAAGTCAAACAGTTGGCTTATACCCTTCTAAACTGGAATTGCCAGTCTTCACTGAACTTTTCTTACAACTATAACCTTGTAGCACAAGGGTAAAATCACGACTCGTGTACACAGTCCCCCAGACATGCCCATCTGTAACCGAAATGTCTTTGGTGTAACAGATGGCCATGTTATGGGTAAGGTCCACTGTGCTTTACAGGAGGGTCTGCACAGATTGGGGGGAGTGATGTGTCCGTCATCATCAACAATGCAGGTCTGCGGGGGCCCAGTAAGTCACAGATGTTGCCGTTGCCTGGCAAGCTGAAGGTATCTTTAGCCAACCCAACCCTGACCGTGCTTGGCCAACTCTACTCTGCTACCAGAACTCTGCACTGTAAAGCTCAACCTGTGCACTAACCATTTGCCTTGACAGGCTGACTGATCTGTTGTTTTTCGTTTTTATATTTGCTACATGAAACAATGTACTGTTTGTTAAAATCCCTCTTTTTTTTCATACAGAATAAAGTGAACAAACACAAAGTTTTAACCTCTTGTCTCCTAGGGATGGCGGTGTCCTCATGTTTCTTCAGTTCTTCAAAGGTGCACAGCTCCAGGTGTGCCTGTTCCACTTGATCCCACAGGTCATTCAGCTGTTTTATCAGCCCCATGGCTCTGGACTGGTACCCACCTAGCAGGATCTTCATCTTCTTTTCCATTTTTGCAGCCCTTTTTGCCTCCATGGTCATATGACCTCTATTGATCTGTAAAAGGGAAAAGAGTTTCTTTAACGTCTCTGAAAAATCCTGTCCTTAAAAAATAAGATTACACCGTTTACAAAAAAAAATAAGTATACAAGCTGCTGACTCCATGAAAAAAAATAATGTTGGTACATCAATCCAAAAATAAAAGATTGATTTTGGACATAATTGCACTTTATGAGAAGTTCAAATAAATGCTGTTTTCTTGGAGCGTGTTTAAAACTGAAGTGTTCAGAGACCCTGCAGACGGATTTATTATGAAATACAAGATCTAAACTGACTGGCTATTTGATAAGATGAATAATAGTGGTTCTGAACAAGAAATATAAGATTAATGAGCACATTTTCATAAAGAATCTCCACCTGGACATTATATAAAGTTATTCTGTCATTCTTCCTCATGTTAACAAAAAGAAATTCTAAAAAGCTAACAAACTGAACAAGGTCCAGGGCGAAAGAACCAATCTAGCAATTTATTGTGAGACTTTCATTATTTGCTATGAATACTGAAACTTTTGATCGTCTAAAAACATTCTAAAAACAACCTCATCTTTAGTATGACAGACTGGATATAGCCGCTATTCTTCCTGAACAATTAATCAGCATGCCAAAGAACTACAGATTTCACATTGTGAAATCTGACCTGGCAGGTTCCCTGTATAGGTATTTCTGCAGTGTTTAAAATAACTTCTAAAAAAAAAACATAACAATTATTCTTTATAAAGCAAGCAAGTTCTAAAATCTTACCGAAAAAGTGTTAACATTTTAGATGAGGTTATATTTTAACAACCATGAATATCCAGTTTGTACTGGATATTTCATCTTTTATTTCTTTTTTTTTATAGCCTTAGTTTTTTCACTACCACAAAACACAGCTCCAACAGTACTACAACAATGACAGCTTCGAAATAATGTGAAAACTTTTTTGGGGGGGATAAAACGCCACCACATTTCCCATACTGGATTAGTGTTCTTACTGGAACTATAACAAATAAGCATGAATTCCAGTAAATGATGGCTGTTTCACCAATAAAACCCTAACAGCTTGCTTAGCAAGGACTCTGTACCATTAAAATCAAGAAAAAAAAACAAAACAATAGCCTAGACCATAAACTAAACCATTTCTGCGCTTATAAAGCTGTGTGAAGCGCCCAACCCTGCATTTTCCCCAGAGGACCTGACTCCAGTAGTTAACTCTTCTGACCCCTGGCATTGTTTATTTTCTGTGGCTGGTGTATTTCACCAGGGGTTAGCAAGCTGAGGCCTCAGCTTCCCTTTATTTCTGATTAGGCTACAGATGACAACATTGCGTTTTTGAACCAACTGCATAACAAGGTTTAACGATAAATGTGGTCTGCAGCTGCCGCTACTATAAATCGTGTTAATTCTCTGAATGAAGCCACTGCAGCCCCCTGCTCCCCCCAGCCCCCTTCTTAGAAGTAGCTGCTATGTGAATCGATTCCAAGTCGCCACCCTCTTTTCCATGCCAAGAAATATTAAACAAACGCACCCTTTGTGAATCGCTTCCTTGATTAACTGAAACTTAGCCATATGTGCCCTCAGTAACACATGCTTGAGGAGCACTTTCTTTGGTGCCAGTTTTCTACTTGATTTAAAAAAAAATCTGTGACTTACTTTATTTAAGATGCTTTACTTTCCCTAATGGAAGCTAAATTTATCATTATATCATTCCCCAAGTCACTACATGTAGAAAGCTGGTTGGTATCTGCTGTGCAAGGTAACAAGTGTGATTTAAAAAAAAAAACATTTTTCAAATTCTGAAATCACTGAAGAAAAATATCCACAGAGCTTAGGGAACAAAGAAAAGATTCAAATGTTTAATGTATAATAGATGATCATTCAGTCTAACAGGCAAAGAAAGCAGAAACACTAAGTACATGCTTCAGTTTATTTAGGCACGCAATGTTCTATTACACTCATTGTAAAACCGCATGGTCACATTCTTGAATTTCAAAACCTACTTAGAGAAGATTTTGGCAAAGCATTTTTAAGGTTACAATCGTTTCTATCCTGAAATGATGGAAATAAAACTCAGTCAACGGTATTTTGATTTTTGTATTTTAGACATTTTGTAGAAGAACGTTGGAATTTTTCCATATTCCAGTCTGGAGTATCTATTTAACTCTACTCGCTAGTAGACTTTCACCATCAGGAACCCAGCTTTCAACTGTACTGTGAATTGCACTGTTGAAGAAAGGATGTCTTTAAAAAGCATGACCACATCTTCTTCCATAAGCACTTCATACTTAACATTTTACTGAATTAGCTCCGTGTGAGGTCTCCAACTGTAAGTTGAACCCAAGACTGTTGGTTGACTTATTGTTTATACTGCTCTACAAAGTCTAATAGAGAATTAACTATATTTAAATTAAAACATTATTATATGAATTTTATTTAGTTTCTTAAATGAATGTTTTACAGCCCTCAAGAAGAATGTTATGGAGAGGACCAAAAAAATAATGTTTTGAACAACACCAAAAAAGCCTACACATCAACGCTGAGTGCTTTTCTATGAGATTTGGGTGGAGAACCTATTACACTAAGCAGTCTTACTTAAACATGAAAGATAAAGCAGCATGTTTCTTCACAGGTCCTTCCACTCAAATTCAAGTCATTCACAGGATGAATTCTAAAAACATGGGCTATGCTGCACCCTACTGGAGAAACCATGCAAACACTCTACAATTAGGAACAAATAGTAATAGGTTTATTTCATGCTGAAAAGAGAAGAAAACACAATGTTTCGACCGTGGAGCCTTCTTCAAGTGTGAGAAAGACAGCACTGTAAGCAAAGGTAATGTAGCATAGGAGGACAAAAGCTGGGAGAGAGGAGGGGCAGGAGGCAGGAGCAGGGGACAGACAGAGTGGCCAATCAGGTAGTGTGGAAGTCAGGATAGGTGAAGAGAAGTGTGAAATGAAACCAAAAATGAATAGAGAGAATTTTAAAGAAAATTAGTCTGTCGTGTGATCCTAGCTGCAGGATAATTTTAGTTTCTGTAGACTTTCTGATGTGGGAGTTAGGAAAATCATCTTTGAGAACACAGACGGAGAGATTAATGTGATCATGGCTTACAGCCCTATCTTTCTCACACCTGAAGAAGGCTACATGGTTGAAACGTTGTATTTTCTTTCTTCTCTTTTCAGCATGGAATAAACCTATAACTTGTTCCTTTGCAACCTACGCATGCTGACGCAGCTACCCACCTGAACTACTTCACTCTACTATTAGTATTTGTACTAAATCAAGTTATCACCTATGTCCTTTAAATAAGATAGTTTTTTTTATTAATTATTTGAAATTAATCACTCCTTTAAGGGGTTTTCTATATGTCATAAAACGTGGTTTAAAAACACCTACATTATTTAGATTTTTTCAATGGTTTTGAACTCTTGAATTGATACAGGAATTATGTTTGCAATAGTTACAGTTACAGCTCCCACGCCTCTAAAAATACAGCACCACTCACCTCCAGTTTCTTCTCCAGGGATTCAATCCTGTCCTTTTTGCTAGCCAGGTTGGCACGTGTGTAACGGCCTTGCCCAGCAAGGTACAGCACTTGGCTATAGCACTCCTCCCACACCTGGTTGTAGGCTTCAATGGAGAGATCCCCATGGTTCATGCCATGCTTCACTACCTCCATCTCTTGTGCCAGCAGCTCATCAGCCTGCAAGAGCAATGCAATCATTAAGAGGAAGAGGCCACACGCCCCTTCTAAATTATTAATGCAATTAATAAGCATTAATGCAATTATTAATGCTATGATTATTGATTATGAATGCGATTAATAATCATAGCCCCCTTGCATTATGCCTGCCCCTCCCACCCTTAAAAACTTTCCAGATTATCCTGAAGCATTGCAGTAAGAAGACAGTCTTTCTCCAAATGAGAATTTGTAACAGGCTTGAGGTCAGTTTCTGCTAACCAATTCCAATTACTTATCTACATTCACAGAATTGGAATTGAAAAGCTGGCATAGATTCCAACTTTGGTTTGTATGCATTTGATTTATTCAGCTATTCACCATCTTCTGTATAGGAGCTGTTCTCCTGTATGGTTTTTTAATTCAACTACTGATTTACTCTATACATCAAGACACTTCCAAATGCATTTGATTGCCAGGAAAAGGGGGAAGGGGAATAACTAATATCGACTCTAATATTGTGAAACTTCTTGCATATTACCCAGCACAACTTGCAAATTAACAACCTTACTAGTACAATTGAGTAATACCAAGAAAACCAAGACACTGCTCACCTTTTTGAGGTCTTCTTCAGAAAACTTTTCACACACGTTGTGTTCCAGATATGCTATGTGTTCTGCATTATTTGAGCTAGATCCTGCACCTTTGCCTTTTTTGGCTAAAGTGTCTGCATAGGGATGGTGGAGGCTATCAAAGTGAAGCATTGTGATCATTTCTTTCTTTATCAGCTCTTCACCCTTCTGCAGCTCTGTTAAAGGTGGTTCCACATTCAGAGGTCTTAGAATGGTCTCGTTTACCTGTATGTGTCAAGGAAATTACAATTTAGCTCTCCAGACTTCAATGCAAAAGAACACTTTCATACAATATAAAATGACAAATCAATATCCAGACATATTTTTAGAACCTCAATGTTTTATGCATTTTTATATTGGAAGTACCTTTCATGTAACTTCTACAACGAGGCAGCGACAGAAGTCTGACAGCAGGGAGACTAGTCAGAAACAAACCATCATGACTTCCCCGTATTGTTTTCAGTAATTTGTAACATTTGTAGTATCTAAACATTAAATAAGAATTACCAGACACATCAACCCAAATGCGTACGAAATCGTTCACAACACAAAACCTTCACTGTCAATGAAATGACAGTTGCTCTGGATGGTGAACAAAAGGTAAGAAGGTGAGAAGACCGAACTCACCTCAGAGGGTCTAGGTAGGTTCCGTTGTACAGCCGTGTGCCTCTGCTTCAATTCTCTCTCGCGCTCAGCATTTCTTAGTAACTAGAAATCACAAGAAAGATGTCAGTCTGTATCAAAAGCTATAATTCCTATTCTCTCTATAAAAGTCAATTTCCTCACTTGACTGCTATGACCTTTTCTCAACATAAAGGATAAAGAAATTGAGGCAAATCTTTGACTTTTCATATGACAAGCCTCAAAGTGCCTATAATCTCAAATGAAGGGAGACTGTAACTGATTGTATTGTGCCTGTGGTACTACAAGCTGAAGACTTGACCCAAACTCAACCAACCCCAGCATCGCTCGGCAATGGGCACTGAAACCAGATTTAAACCAGACTGTCTGGAATTCAAGGCTCAATCTGTGCTCCAACTGTGTGTCTTTAATTACCTAAACTATCTACATGCCCAGAGTTAAATGCTAGCAGCATCAGTATTAATACTACAAAGGAATCTATCAAGGTGAAATAAGGGATTATAAACCAACAGTAGGGTTAAAACAGTGCAAATGTTACACACGTGTACACAGATACAGCCTTTTGTTACAAAATGAACATTAATGGAATGTACAAACACAAACAGCAGAATACTAATTTTATTTTAGAATTATGCTAATCTCAAACAGGCATAGTCCATTTTCATTTTTTCTACTTTTGGCAAAACCTCAGTGATTTCATGAAGATTAAGCATGCCTAATCCAAAAAACATTGTATGCATACTAGAGAACTAAGCCTAAAAGGAGAAAACGTACCATTACAAATTGAAATTTGATAAAAAAACAAAAGAAAATTCATTTTTAGGACAAAGGAATATCTCTGAAAAAACAAAATGCTGATCTTAAGATACTGCTCTCAGTTAAACATATATATCTTTGGGACAATTATGAGTGCAGTTTTCTCTAAAACTACACTTCCATTGTTGTCTTAAAGACTATCCAATTTTAGTACTCATAGTCCTAAAAGAATTAATATTTTGATAAACATATATATCAATTTTGCACAGATGAATCAATTGAAGTAAATACAACCAGGTCTAAATACCTGGTGAAATTAACTTCTGTGTAAGCAGAATGATAAGGGAAAAAGGCCTTCAGATTTAACATGGTTGCTAACCTGCTTGCGCTGTTCAATGTCTGCAGCATCCTCTACAAAAGTCTCATCAGTTTCATGTTCTTCCAGCTCCTTTTCGGCATTCTCCGGGAGGACAATCTCAAAGTCATTTTTAGGTGCTGGTAAAGACATCAAGCCCATTTTCAGCTGCTCGCGGGATTCTCTTTCCTAAGGGGGATGAAATAAATGACAATTGTGAAAAAATATGCCTAATCTACGGCATACCATATAACCTAAGTGTTCAAGCAGTAAAAAGTCCTTTTTACTTCCCTCATCTGCAAAATATAAATTACTATAGGAAACAAGGAATACTGTCAAATGTGATCAAGATCACCCATTACTGTGCACGTTCCACAGAAGCAGAGTGTAAATTTGCCAGTTGCACTTGTATGACTAGACTATTTAATATTACATAAACTCAGAACCTACCAGGTGCTTTGCGTAGGACGGATCATTAAAATCCACCATTCCATCCTCTGCATTGATGTTGAGTTTGTCGCGCAGGGGAGTTCTTCCAGGAGTGACTCCTACAGAAGCTTTGGGAGTTAGTCCACCACGGGGTGTCAGGCCTTCTGACCCATGAGAAGGTGTCCTAGAGAGAATAAACAAAGGCAGGCCGTTTAAAAAATGTCCAAGGAATGGGTTGTGCCACCTCAAAATCAATATGTATTTTTCACACACTACCATATTAAATTAGCTCTAGTTAACTATGGGGTTCCACAAAATTGTTAAAGATGCATTTTTTTAAAGAAACAAACAACCCCCCTTAAATTTAGCTTTAGTATTCACTGTAGATCTTTACACTATGAGGTGCCTTTAAAAACATGCACAGGGGGTCCTATAATGCTATCAAAAATAACCATAGAAATCATTAAGCTTTGATAAATTATTTTATACACTCATCCTTAGAAAGAACAGGGGTATTTCTTGAACAGAAGATCTTGCTTACACATTAAATATTGGGGGAGTTTGATTTTCACAACAATTACATGTTGGTTCTTCAAACACATATGTTGTTCTTCAGCTAAATAATTTCACAATCCCCTGCATAATAACACATTTTACCAGAAACCCACAGGAAAGGAAGTAGCTTGCCTACAAAAGGCTGTGTAGAATGGGTAGATACAAACATACCTGAAGGGGGTGGCCAGCACTGTGTTAGGTGTCTGCACAACCTGTCTCTGAGGGGTGACTCCAGAAAAGTCACTTTCGTGAAGAGGGGTGTTCAAGCCTCCTTTCAAAGGGGTGTCCACATTTGTCAGGGCCATAAGGTTTTGAGCTTCCTGTGCAAGATTCAAAGTATGTACTTCTCAACATGGGTGCTCTGATTATCATCATTATTGGACGCAAAGAGTTATCTGCCCATTAGGTACAACAAGAAACTGAGCTGCATTTCTGAGGCAAGAGCTTGCACGGGTTAAATTTCTGAATGACTGCAAATTAAGCATTGCTAACAGCATTTCATATTTAGGCTTTGATCTAAAAAAAATATTCTGCTCCCTACCAGACTCAAACAGCTCCCACTAAAACCAAGAAAATCAATGAGTTAGACTGTCAGCCCACATTTCATCACAGTTTTACGCCATTTTGACACCCTCATTCCAGAGTTTGGAAGTCTGTGCTGCTTACCTGCAGAATCCTGTCCTGAGCAGCAGGGGTTTTGGGAGTGCGCAGTGCCATGGCATTATTAGTAACGTTATATTCTGACAAAAGAGCACTGGAAGCCGAATTTGTGATTCCTGACTCCTCAGCTGTCTGACGAGCAATCTCGCTGGCCTGTCCAAGTTTAACAACTTCCTCCAGTTCTGAGTCAGAAATCTGGAAGGAAAGAAGGCAACAACAAAAAATAATACAATGAAGAAAAAGATAGCACATAATACAAATGTCACACTAATAATCTCTTATTTCACTCAACCACAGTACATAAATGGAGACACATACCTGGGGTGCTGGAAGGACTAACTTGCTTCTTTTCTTTGTGAACTCTGATACACCACTGGTCTGCAGAATGGCTGATGGGAGATCTGACTCCTTCTTCTTTTTTATCTTCTGCCTGTCTTTCTTACGCTCTCTATCCTCTTTTTCACTGCCAGAAACAATATATTTAATATCACAATGAAAAGATGTTTTATGGTCAATCAGCTTTTTTTTTTCAATTTAAACTAACAAAACTCTTTCACACTGAGCACATCACTGACAGAACTACTTTTCTTTTACACACATAATCTGACAGGTAACTTATTTTTACTCACAATCTCAGATCTCCATCAAGGTGCTGCTGACGTAACCTCTTAAAGTCTGGCTCCAAGGCCTCATAGTTCTCCATGGATGTATCAAAGAATCCAGGAGCAGGTTTCTTCTCAAAGGGGATCTCAGCATTGTAATCAACCCCTCTTTTCTTCTTCCTCTTCTTCTGTATCTCAATGCCTGCAGCCCGCAGTTCCCGGCGCTTCTGAAGAGCAGCAAGACGCCTAGACATCAGAAACGGGTGCAGAAAGACACAGGTTAAGCAACTTCCTATTAAAACTGAATCAGGATAGCTTGCTTATCTGTTTAAAATACCACAGGAATGTACCAGTGCAAACTGAATGAATTAAAGTGAATTGTGATATACAACCAAGCAATGGTGGCCATGTACCATTGTATAAGACATTGCAAAGCCTAACTGAGTAATTCTATATTAAAATGTAACTCTATATGGCATAGAACATCGTATGTCATTGGCTTTTTTCTTTATATGCTTTTATATCTGTTCCAGCACAACTCTTTTAAGACATTATAGGGAAAGCCTTTACAAAAAAAATCTATGCAGGTTTTTTTATTAACAATAAACTTAAAGCATTCTTAATGATACATGCTTTGGAAAATACGAGTCAGTGCTTCTATCAACGTTACTTTCATTGACAGTGATGATCATCACTTCAATCAACAGTTCAACAGTGTCCCAATACACAGCTCCAGTGAGACACTGGCAAAACCTTTTTCAGAATATCCTAGCATATTTAAGATATTATATACTCATTGATGTGGTTATATGTCAAACTCATGTTTCCTCATATTTCTTACTGTATATTGTTTCATTAACAAGGAATGCAATTTTATGTATCCACACTTTATATTTTAAAATTATCTGCATCTCCATTAGACTCTGGACAGTCTTTGTGCTTTCACCACTGAGCAGCCCTCCATACACTCTCTCCCATGGTAACTTTTATACTACACAAACTGTTACGTTTACCACATATATAATGTCACATAACGTGCCACAGTATATAGCATGTATGGTTAAAAAACATAAGTAACCCTCCTTTAATATGAAAATTAAAGTACATAAGTTAATTAAAATAACACCAATCAATTAAAACCCCTCCTCTGTGCCCAGTAGATGCTTGCACTTTCTCTCTGCCTTCCTAGATATTTCCCTGCTCCATGATTACCGAGCCCCATTGTAATGAAGTTATAAAACTGACGTCTCCAGCCTTTCAGTCCCCATGTAACCGACAGAACCAGAAGGCTCACTCACTAGGTAAATTTGTCTTACAATTGTAAACATTTGTACGGTTTATTTGAAAGTTGCATTTAACCATGTTCAAAGCGGTGTTCACATATTCAATCTTCAGCTCGGTTTCATCCTGCTCTGCTCTTCTTCCCTTCCATCCCCGTTGGCCAGACCAAATCATGAATAAGCGAAATCGCAAATGTTAAATTCGCAGACGTTGAGACTCTACTTCGCTACATATACAGCTACGCATCTAGTTGTTAAATAACCTCCCTATTTTCCAAAACGTCTCATATTTACCAAACACAGCGATTTTCAAAAGTAAACCTCAGATTTGGCAAAGGAAATTCAGTATGCTGAAATGCAAACATAATACTTTTACGGTATTATTTCAAGACTGCAAAGAAGAGCAATTCAAGCTTTTTAAGCTTTGTCTAAAACCTGCCTTGCATTATTTAGCTCTGTTCTGGCTTATATTTTAATAAGCACGCATCACTTGCTGATTGGCCCTTACAGATTTAAGCGCTTACCAACTGTTCCCTAGACTATTTATTACCTTGCTTCCTCCAGTTGCTTCTCTCTTGCTTTTCTCTTGGCCTTTTTCCCTTGAGTGTTGGCTAAACGAGCTCGGGCCTCTGAAAGCATCTCAAGCTCATCTGAAAAAACACAAATGAAAGGACTTGGCTCAGATCAGGTATTGCATGTTGCAAGACATTCATACACAGGCTTGATCAATTTCAGCTTTACCTTCATCCATGTCCACAGGGTCAGGCCTAGCAGGCTTGGTCTCTGGGTTGGGGTCAATTTCTCCAGGTTTGAGTTTACGGGGGTCATCTGCAGTATCCTCTTCATTGTCCCTCTGAGCTGCTTTATCACTATATGACAAAATATGGTTAAGCCTATTTTGTTCCACTATTGTAGAACGTAGAAATAAAGCAGCTAATAAAATCTAAAAACATAATTCGGAAAACGTGTCAAGGGATATTAAAACTATACAAGACATTAGACAGACCATATGAAATACTATGTACAATTCTGTGTGGCATGTTACAAACTTTATTTAATATCTGTTCAAAGCCAGACAAGTAGGTTTTTCCTCTCGCTTAAATGAATGTCTTACAGACAGATTTAAAGATATGAATATGTTTCATCTTGAACAGAGGAGACTGTAGCAGGATTAGATACAACTATTTAAATCCTGAAATGTTAATTTGCACATTTTCAAATGTCAGAGGGAGACTTCACAACCAAACAGTGAAACATGGACCCAAGGATGCAAATGACTAAAACTAAGAGAACCACTTTTTGCCCTGAAATCAGTGAACATTTATTTATGTAAAGGGCTATGAGTATCGGGAAAAACAACCAATTGTAGAAGCAGATTTTCAGGGGTACTTAAAGACCCCAGAAATAAGAATCAGCTGGCAAAATGCTTGATTCAACAATGTACAAATAAATCAAGATTAACCACAAGCCTCTTTATAAGCTACTCGACTATATTTATGAAAACATTGTGCCCAATTATTGCAAATATCTCCTGTAAGGTGCTGCTTGTAACATGCACAAAGCTTTTGTGAGCCATTTTACATCTTTGATTTAGCCTGTATAACATGGAAAAATTCAATATAATCTTAACAGCACTTTCTTACACAAAATAGGAGTCATCTTATAAACTTACTAAATGGTGCATTTAAGAAATTAGCAGCACTTCTTACTTAATCTTTACCCCTGCCTTAATAATTTCTGTTGTGATGGAAAATCTGCTTCTTTCTGTTTTAGCAGCACCCATCACTGTTATCTTTGAACAACACTAGCTATTTGTTTTAAGGGAATCAGTGAGCCAACTTACAGCAAAAACTCATAGTGCTCCAGACACTGAGCAGCAGTTCTGCCAATGATAGGAGCAATGGTTCTCCACTGTGTGGGCATCAGCTTTGCCAAGTGAAGGAGCTTCTCCTCTTCCTCACGTGACCATTCTGTCTTCTTTATGCTTGGGTCAAGCCACTCGTACCTGTTTGAGACAATATAAAGGCACCACAGTATTACCGCACAGCAAAAAACAACACAACTAACCCGGCACACTTCCACTCCCTGCCGGACATTGTTTCTGCGCTAAGTTTTTTGTTTTATTTCCATAGTCATGTTTTTGTAGCTTGAGCAAATGTTGATTAAGCCTCCAAACATGATATATTTAATGCCTAAGCAATTAATCAACAAATTCTTAACACATGGAACAATCTACTTATGATCAATTAAAAATAGGTGAGCGTATAAATTAAGCCATTAGGAGGTCCTCTGAAAAAAAGTGATCAAACCCTTCAGGCCTAAAGGACCAGAGTGCCCTTAAATGAACAAATCAATTGCTTAATTAATAAACAACATCCAAGTGTTTAAAAGAGCTAGGGATTTAGTGAAATCTATAACACTAAGTGGACTGGGACACTCCAAAACAAGGGCTAAAGACTCCAGCATTCAATAAAAGAAAAACAGTGCATGAAAATTAAGTTATAAGGGCGTTTTGCTCTCTTTCAATTAATTTTGCTGTATACCCACCCAACATGGAAATGCCAATTGTGCATTTCTCAGGTCTTGGCATAGCAACTGCACACAAGGGAGAATAAGGAGTAGCAGGCAGTTTCTTCCCTACCTTAGGATCAGAGCTGACTGCATGATCTGTTAGAGACAGCCACACAAGTCTGCATGTCCCTGGAACACCACAGGGGCTACCAAAGAACTTCCAAGAGCTCTGGGCAGCTAATCCCAACCTTACGCTTACTAGCTGTGAGTCAACTGTGCTCCATCACTTGGGAAATCCTGGTCTCAGATGGTTAATGACATCTCGATCCAAAGATACCTAGGTTTTAGAACTCAATCTGCACCTATGCAAACCCCTTTACTGGTTGAGCACCCTTAACACTGTGCTTTTGACCATTAAAGCCAATCTGGTAACGATAACTGCCAAATATAACATTAGTGCAGCACAGAGAATGCATGAGTGTTGTTACACAAACTACTGGATGTGATAACTGATGACAGATGTTAACAGAAGCATGAGGGATGCTCTTTTACGTATTATAGTTTTGCATGCTTACACATTTATGAAGCTTTATCTTAAATAACAGCCATTTTCTAAGTGTTGCTTCCAATTCAGGGTTACAGGGGAGCCAGAGCCTATCCCAACAAGGAACGGGTGAAAAGGTAGGGTAAATTTTGGATGGCACGCCAGTCCAACACAGGCCGGACAGACAAAAAAATAGACATGTACCCATGCACGTACACCAGGACTAATATTCCTAAGTTCACCTACTAGTATGTTTTTAGATTGTGGGAGCAAACTGGAGCAACCGGAGGCAACCCACAAGAACAGGGAGTTAACATAAAAAGCCCATTTTGATATCACTCCAGGTCTGGAATAGACCCCAGGGCCCCCAGAACTGCAAGGCAGCAATGCTAACCTCTGGGCCACTATACTGTTCTATTTTAGATAACATATTTTCTAAAAACATTTAAATGATTACATGCGAACGTTTGAAAACATATTTAAAAGTTTCCGCAGGAGGACAACCAAATTGATTAAAATGTGAGGCAGAGTGGTCTCAAGACTGTTCCAATTCCAGCAGATGAGAAGATGATCAGGACACCTGGTGTCAGCGAAGTGGTGTCAGGGCTAGTGACACATTCTATGACATGCTAAAGGGCGTTGTCAAATGGCTTGCTGCTGTTCGTTTTTTAATCAGAACGTTAGTATTGCTATACTAGAGAAGGAAAAGCACTAGAGGTACTCCAAGTTCCTGGTCATCGTGCTACTAACTGGTATGATTAGCTCAGCATTGCCAATCATTAGTTTTTCACTGCAATGGGCATGGAAGCCAGAGTTCCTAGAGTAAAACCATGTGAACACAGGTAGCATTCAAAACATGCTCACATAATGTGCCCTAATACAAAATCCAACCCAGAACCTTAAGGCTAAGCCTCAGCTGTGTTAAGTGCTAACTGCAGTGCTAGGTTAGCTAAGCTAAATGCTAACTGCTACACCACCCTGCCTCCAATTTGGCAGTGCTCCTCCACAGATGCAGATGTCTGCAGGCCACCGAAACTGACCTTCACAACACTAAAGGGTGCACAAGTAGAACAAGCATTTAGCTGAAATTACATAAAAATAGCTTTTTTTAAAATAATGTGCCTATAAGCCCTCACACCCGCAGAAGGCTACAGAAGCCAAAAACATTGTGTTTCCTTTCTTTCTTTTCAGCATGGAATAAACCTTTAACTTGTTCCTTTAAGACCTTTTAGAAGTGTTTTTTTGGAATTCTTACAGACGACACCTACCATCGCAAGTGGGAAAAAGCTATTACAACCTACTGTACTCTTACAGCAAAGCATTCGATATTAAAAAACCCTGAGTGAATCAAACAAGAATACGTTGGTGTTAGAATCAAAGATTTAACCCTACAGTGCTACTCCAGCTCATGAAAGCCTGTACTCACCATCGGGCTTTGCATTGTTTTGCAGACTTTCTGTGCAACAGTGAGGCAATCCGAGACCATTGGTTTTTTCCATATTTCATAACCGCTGCTTTAAGGATTTCATCCTAAAATTAAAGGAACAGGATGCATTTTTAGGCTCATTTCTTTACGAGATAATATACGTAAGACAAATTTAAGCTTGACACTACTGGCAAATGTTATACCTGATGTACAAAAACAAAAAAGAACTGTTAATATTAGCTGTTTTTTTTCTCCAAATGGTTAAACAAATTAAATGTTTTAACAAATCGGAAATGATTAAAGTAGCTAACAGAAAACTCGTGGTCAGCAGTAGATCAAACAACATTTCATCAGCATGTTTTAGTTAACTTACGTTGGTGTTACCGTACAGTACTATAACGTGGCTAGGTCTCCGCTAGAACCAACATCATCATAGTATTTTTACTATGTTTTCTCAACACAATCGCAGTTTATTGGATACCCTTACAACACACTTAATTTAAGATATAAAGAAATAAATCAAACGTTTTGGAATTACATAACATGCCAGAATTCAACGAAAAGCACAAAATAGGTAAAGCTGACATAGTTGCACATCACTGAACTTAGGCCATGAATTTTGCGAGCAAAAGGTAAGTATTGGCAGTTGCTAGATGTAACTCATGAAACATGATCAAATCACAGGCAAACAGGAAAATCATTCTAATTTATGTTATCCCGATAGAAGAATAAAAATTACACATAACTACAATCTGTACTTCAATGTTTTCATTTGCCATGCCAAGCTATAAAATAAGGCCGTTACATTACCTCGGTATTTCGCCACACACCACCTTTGATCATAATACGCGGCATGTTTAAAGTTAAATGTTAATATTTCAAGCTCCTGGAAAGAAAAATAAAATAAAACAAAAATAAAAGATTCAAAGATATACTATCCACAGAACGATCGTGCTGCACAGTTTCAATATGGCTCCTCAAGATAATGCGCCTCACCATGGTAATCTCAAGAAAAGACAATAGCTACAGCTCCCCTTCTGGACTGGATGTATTAAAACAGCCTTCTAAAGTTGCAGTGTAGAGCACCCGGTAAAATTAACAGTAAATGCGCTAAGTAGTATGCATTCTCTTTTAATTCTGTTTTAATGTAGCTTCAGTTATGATAATTTGGGAGATGAAAAAGTATCCCAAGAACGTAACCTCTTAGCGTAACTGCTAGCCTAATACACATCTCATAAAAGTGCTGAAATTAATTCAGATGATTCGAAATGATATACTTTTGCTGACATCTCATGTAGAGGAGAAATATAAAAATGTATACCTTAACGTTATTTTTGGAGATATGTGGTACAAGACGCATATTATAATATATTAGAATATGTGAGAAAATTATTTCCCGTGTATAAATTAATATTTTTACCTTTTTATAAGAGGGGAGCGTGGGTCCAGTTCCAGACATGGGGTGCCATCTGCGTGACGTTTATATGTGATTCCAGTGTTTGTGCAAGTTTCTGCTGGGTGCTCCAGTTTCCTCTCACAGTCTAAAGACACAGTGGTAGGTTAATTGACTTCTGGGAAAACTTCTGGGATGCATCACATCCAGGGTGTACTCCCACCTTGCGCCCATTGCATACCGGCATTGTCTCTGTCTCCACCGCCCCCTGAATTAGACAAAGTGATTAGAAATTCAGTGGATTGATTTTATAAATTGACATATTTCATGTGCACTTGAATCCTTTACCACAAGTAACAGAGTTTTCCAAAATACCGGAGAGAATAAAAAGCTGGAGAAAAAGGAAACAAGTCCTCTTCCAGATGAGGTTACTGTTTAGAATAAAATGTCAAATAATCCTTCTACAAGATTTATCTAAATGAAAAAGAGAAACAGAAAGGGAAAAACTATATACAGTACTAGAGTACAGTATAATGAATGCCCCTTGGAGATACAATGCTTTCTCAAAGCCTTAAGGATGAAATATTTTCTGCCATACCTCAGTGCCAGATCAATGCCCCAGCAAGTGCAAGGTGATATCTGAAATAAAGCTAACTGCTGTTGTCACCTAACAGTAAGAAATCAAGTTTTATTATAAAATAACATATTCCATTATGGTATGTCTGCCCAATTTCCATTCAGTTTGGGCTTTGGAATGTTATTTACAATTATCTGTGAGACCATGTGCATGTTTTTAACAAATCTAATTACAACACAAAGTTCAATGGTTCATCCATCACAAACAGGCAGTCAGATCCAGGGCATCTGATAATCAGATATAAGACATATAATAAGTGCTATAATATAAAATACACATAAAATAATTCCGGTGGGTAGCTGCGTCAGCATGCGTAGGCTGCAAAGGAACAAGTAATAGGTTTATTCCATGCTGAAAAAAAGAAGAAAGAGAACACAACGTTTCGGCCGTGGAGTATAAAACATATAAAATAGTTACAGTACATGTTTTAACTATTATGTTGCAAGATTATCGTGTCTTGCAGAAATATTGATCAAAACCTTCTAACATGAAATTTGATTAATTAAAAAAGTATAGGTATGTGACTTTTTATAAATGAACTTACAGTAGAATTCCTGTCATATAAAACATATAAAATAGTTACAGTACATGTTTTAACTATTATGTGCAAGATTATTGTGTCTTGCAGAAATATTGATCAAAACCTTCTAACATGAAATTTTGATTAATTAAAAAAGTATAGGTATGTGACTTTTTATAAATGAACTTACAGTAATTTGCAGTATGATCTAAGTAGTATCTGGGTGGTATGATGCACACTATACTTCTTAATGTTGGAATTCACTGAACTAAAAGCGATAAGTAACCTTCTTCTAGTCTGTGACTCTCCATCATTTTATCTCTTTGGTCTTTTTTCTCAATTGCTTATATCACTACGAGACACATGACATTAAATTCAATATCCACCTAAGGGGACTTGCAGAAACAAAGATATTTACTCCAAAGTCATGTTAAACCTCTTTGATTATGCATAGACAGAGAATATTACACCATTTTTGAGACCTATCAAATATATTTATTTTCACCTGAAAAATCTTCACATGAAAAAGCTTCAGCAACTTTAGAGTTGCAGTTGAAAAGAGGATGAATACTTAAGCAATTGAGAATCTACTGACTGTCTTCAGAATCTACATATCATCAGCATTTTTTTAGATCTCTCAGTTTGGAGCAGATTATAAATATAAACTCCAATTTGAAAGTGTCATGATTGCAAGCTCAGAAAAAGTGGGAATTTTACTGAGGGTTAATTCTTTTACAAGACACTGTATAGACAGTGGGAAAGGGAAAGACCTATATGAAGTATATATAGTGAGGTAATTGTCCTTATAATGGCAGTGTGATGGTTACTGCTGGTGCTTCACTGCTCTAGGTATCCTGTCTTTAATTCTAGGCTAGGGTGTGTTCTGTGTGGAGTTTGCATGTTCTCAACCTGTTCTTGGGTCGCTTGTTTCCACCCTCTGTGGCCTGCAGACCATTTCTATGAGAAAGAGCTTTTTTTCTCAATAACTTCTAGTACTGTGACTATCTCAATGTAGTATGGATAAGGTTCAGGTGAATTATAGTGGCAATACTTTGCATGAGTACATTACTGAAACATCCGTATATCCGTATCCGTAACATAGTATTTTAGTGTTCCACCTTTTTTCCACACATTAATATTTGCTTAACTTTAGAATGACTTTGCCTATCTAGTATGTAACCCACTGGAAAAATGAATCGAAGGACATTTACATTCCCAGACTAGGTGGCAGTAGCACGGGGAGTGAAACGCCAACCATGGTTGTCTAAGCAGCTCTTCCGCTCTGTTAGCAGCCGCGACAGGTATCGCGCCGATTCTGCGCAGACGTGAACTCTGAGGGATGTGAGGAAGTGTGAGTGTAGTTAGCTTTACTTCAATTTACTCACAGTTGTATCGATTCATATTTGATATCTTCCCCTCGCAACAACTTGGAGGAATTCTGAGCAGTTAAGGCTTGTGGTAAAAAAAATAATTTAATAAATATGCAGCATTCGTTTTATAATTTAGCATGCCCACGTGAAGTACTGTAGGGTTGTAAGACTTAGTAGCCTGAATTTAAAAGGTAGGTAGTTAAGTCGGTGTTTCTGACTCAAATGTATTTTTTTTCTGTGCAACGAATCGTGTTAAAAAAGGTTTTGAAGAAAAAATAAGTTTCTCTTGTTCATTTTGTGATTTAATGTTTACTCCATAGTTGTATTCAAATGAGTAGATCCAGTTAAAGGCGTTGAAATATTAAATACGTTAGTTTGTTTTTATCTTATCGCTACAGTATGTATATGATTTTGTAGACTACTCTGCAGTGAAAGCGAAATGAACCCGTCTTTTCTGGTGCAGGAGTGGAGAGTTATGCGTTACCCCGGTGAACAGAGATTTGTTGTTCCTCTGGATTTCCTTCGTATCTAAAAGAAACAAAAGTAAGATGGAATAGCACAACTGTGAAGCATGCTATATATTGTATTTGTTTGCGCAGGGTGATGTCATGCACCGTTTTTATGCACAAAAGCATCTCAGTGGTATGTGTCTTACCATGCTTTGTTGCTGCTGTTATTTAATCTACATCGTATACTCGATATTTCGTTCCACTGTATACTTGTATATGGCTGGTATGACAAATAAACGTGAACTTGATACTGTATGTAGAGTAAGCGAGGGACTACGGAAGAAATCATAATTATAGATTGTGTAGTTTCATTGATAATCAATTTATACAGTTAATTTAGGGTAGAGCTCAAAATAAAAAAAATAAAAAATAAAAGCTCAACATTTATTGGTATCAGTTGTGTTACTGCAGGAAACGTGTTTATACAGAGTATGTATGGTTTGAAAAATATTGCCAAAGCCTCAGCTACTCATTCACTTTTAAGTGCCTACAAACTGCAAAAGAAAGCATACAGGTACAATTCACAATCTAAACAATGCAAGTTCACAGCACCAGTGTTTTCTGAATAAATTATACAACCACATTAAAACATTGTCAGACAGCTATTTTACCATTTAACTACTAATTTGCATTAGATACATTTACAAGAATATTAATTTTTAGTTGTGCGTAGCTGTTTAGTATGTTTACAGCTAAGTTTTAAGTTTAAACAATACACCTGATGGGAGTGTTTTGTCTTTTTTTAGGAATGTAAGACAGTGGCTGGATAAGTATGAATGCCATTCCAGATATACATTTCATGAAAGTTTGGAGTGAAGATGGACAGTGAACAGAAAGGCAATGTCCAGCTCTTCACTGGTAAGTCTGTAGAAGTAAAGACCTTTTATTGAGCAGTGGGCAGTGCTTGATCACATGAAACTTAGATTGAAGTGAGACAATGGTACAACACTGTGTATGCAACATACTGTCTTTTATGAATCTGTCTATATGACTTTTGTATTTCAGCCTGTGCAGTGCAGACATAGCATTAGAGAATGTGGAGCAAACTCTTAAGTAATTATGCAGGATGTGGGTTATGGGAAATCACAAATGTTTAGTATTTTTTTTATCTTCATCCCCTATCATTTCATTAAGGAAGTATGGACGTAGAACCAACCAAGCATACTATCTCGGTTCTCCAAAACTGTTTATTAACACTTCTCAACATTTTAGCAAACACAAGCTTTGATCATGACAAAAACTTTGGCTAGACAGAGATCTTACACTGGCAAGAAATCCTAAGCCACACATTCCGTGTGAAAAAGGCCCCTTTTTCTAAAAAGACAATCATGAGATAAATAGCTCAATCTGATAATAAATACATCCAGTAATTGTTTTAGGACTCGGATCCAACTACTGTAGGAGTAGAAGTTAAAATTGGAGAATTACTCAAGGCTTGTGTTGTTGAGTGCTTAGTTTTTTAGGAGAAATTCTAAAGTAATAATGACGGTGGGTTTCCCAGTCAACACAGAGACATCGGAGTGGAGTTAATCGGCTTCATTACGGCACCAGGAGACCATGTTCTCCCTGTATGAAGTGTAAAGAGTATTCTGAACAAAACAAAAAATTACAAGGGAACAAGTAAACTTTGTTCCTTTGCAGCCTACACATGGCGACGCAGCTACCAACTTGAAAGAAGGTTTTTTAAGGACACTCTCGCAGGGGTGTGTGCAAAATCATTAAGTTAGGATTAGAAGAGCTTTAATACCTATACATCATTCAGCGTGGTATCATACTCTCATGAGTAAAACAAAAATACACTGCCGAAAACAACAGGTTCCCTCTCCAAGGCCGCTGTATTCCCTCCATGAACTCTGCTGCTGCCTAGGGCATTCCAAGTGCCCTTGCTTAGCAACCTACTGTAGATAGTGGCCCGCTTCTTCAAACCATATCTCCCAGCACACCATGAGGAGTCTCACTCACATTCATAAACCTGTCCTTTGCTGAGAGCCTCACAAACCTTCAATTTGGTTCCAAGTCTTTTGATAGAGAAATGATGGTAATCTAATAAGCAGAGCCTTACAGCAATAAATGTGAGAGGTGACAGGTGTCAGCAGGACCTGTAAAATCTGGATGTAAACTTCCAGTATTTATGAGAAGGAAAAGATAGTGAACATTGGATGAATCCATTCTAATAAGCAGAGCCTTACTGCAATAAATGCGAGAGGTGACAGGTGTCAGCAGGACCTGTAAAATATGGATGTAAATTTGCAGTATTTATGAGAAGGTAAAGGTAATGAACTTTGGATGAATCCATTCTGTAAATGGAAATGAATGACAGTGGAAGCGAAGACTGCAAATTGGGGCAGAGACCAAGCTGAAGAGCAGAAATTTGTTTTCACTTGCTAAAAATGTAATGAAACAATGTTGTCATCCTTTATTGAATTAAGTTGGTAAAGTTTCAATGCACGTGTAATTGAAGTTCTCAAGATGGCAAAATAATGTCTTGATGAGTCTAAATATAGGTCTTTTTTAAGAGTCTTCACTTCCCTGGTTCAAGGTATTTTATCATGCATTGGCTTCACAGTGTCATCAAAACAAGCTAGTCTTTGTATAAATTCAAACCTTTTTATTTTTCCTGGTAGCATTCACAAAACCACCAAAACAGAGGAATTCTGAACCTCGAAAGTGTTTTCACTGAGCTTTTTAATTTTCCTGACTTTCATGTTTGTTTCAGTCTCATTTTGTTTTCCTTAAAAAAACTAAATCTCTGTGGAGGACTGTTATTTTGTGATGTGCTAAAGAAGAGTTGAAACCAGTTGTGTTCAAAAAATGAATAGGACTGTAAGGTGAAACATCTGAATTATCAGCAAAGTGTAATATCTGATGCTTTAACATTTATGGTGCCCTTTGCTGTTGGAGTATGAAAAAGAAGGATTTTTTTTGTTGTCAAGATCTGATGCTGAAAGTGTATAGTGTGGATTTATTAGTTGATTAACATGTTTTTTTTCTGCATCAAAGGAGAGTGCCTTTTCCTTCCAGTTACAATCTGTGTTGTAAGTGAGGATGAGGAAGATTCTTGGTCCTTCTCCGATAACAGCATAAAAGAGGGAGATTATAATTCATCTGATGTCGATGGAGGTATAAAATCAATCACGAACACCTTTTATAGTTTCTGAAAAACATTTTCATGATGTAAAAAAGGAAAATGTAATGTGCCTTTCACATTTCTATACACTGTTCGATTTGCTTTATTTTGACTCCGACTATGTTTTTGTTTGATCAAGACTTTTTCAGCATGCAAATAATTACTGAAGTTTGCAAAACAATAGGCAATGCATTAAATATTGCTTCTTTTTACATTAATTGTAAAAAATGTCATATTTAATTTCATATTTGTTGTCTTGTGTTTCTAATCATTACAATGTAAATAATATGTTGAATTCTTTAAGGAATTACCTGGATATACAGTATGCTCAATCAAGTTGTGTTTTAGGATATAGGACTATGATGTAAGATTTTTCATTGCTGTGCAGTATTTTCATGAATTTCTGACTACGCTTGTGCAAGTAAGGAAGTTTACTCCATTAATATCATGGATATTTTGAAGTTGAAAAAATAGAGTATTTGATGACTTCCATTCCAAAATATATAACTTCTTTTTTTCATTATTTAATAGATTTAACCAAACTCGATGCCTGTACCAGTCAAGAAAAAAGTAGAGCATCTCCTTATTGGCTGGTGGATATGAATAAATTTCAAGATGTACAAAAGGGAGCCAGCAAAATTGTGCCAGATGCAATTATACAGAAGGTAATTGGACAGAAGAAAAAGCTCTTCGAAGAAAATGATGCAAGGCTGCAGTCAAAGAAGGATTCAGACCTTAAAGTATCAAAACGTAAGTTCTCTTTTAAAAAGAAGAAAGCTGTTCAGTTTCATCAGGCATCTGTTTCCTTAGCATATGTTTATAACAAAGGTACCCACAGAGGGTGAAAAATATTGTAATTAAAATAACCGATTGCATGTTTAAACATTAGCTTAGTTTTCAAGTTTAATACCAGAGAGATTTTGTTCTTGTTTAGCTTTCCTAATAATGTATGAAACAGTATCTGAAGAGAAGAAAACACACCTTTATGCTTTAAAGGCAAGGAAAGCCTCAGATTTAACTTAGTGTAACTTCACAGTGCATCTTAACATATTTTAAACATCTAAGAATAGGCTTTCAAAGAAAAGCTTTTTAAATGCTTTTATTTTTGTTGAATGACCCTGAGAATTGGGAAAATCAAAAGGTACAGTGTTATAATAACAAGAGTGTATGTGAACATGTTTGGAAGGCTTTGATTGCATAAAAATGAGATGTTGGTCCATATTGGTCAAATGAAATGAAATTTTAAAGCCAGGCCAGTTGAAAGTCTTAATTTCTGTTTTGTTATATGAAAGAATATTTACACACATTTAGTAAGGTTATACACAGTACATCGCTTCCATTGAAAAGATTGAAAGTGATTTAAATTGATCATTTGTATCTTAGAAAAACTAACAACACCGCGACAGTATTTTAAATGACTTGCTGTATGACTTGACGGAGGCTGGTAACTTTGTCTGTTCATAAAACCTTTATGATGAATGTGTAGTTTAGCTAGATCAGTTATTTTTGTTTGCTCTGGGGTTGTTATTGTCTGAACCTGTTTTTGTGGTTTTTAGGAAATGAAGGGTGTGTAGAATTATTTTTTCAAGTGTGTTGTTTTGCTTACTGGCATAGCTATGATCTTTTCTGCCACTTATTACTTTAAAGATTAGTATTGGTGACCATTGTTTGAGTATTCACATTTTGCATTCCTTCATACCTTAAAAGGATCATCTGATGCAAATAAAAAATCAAATGTATCATAAGATCTAGTTCAGAACATATTAAGTCATATAATATACTATTGTCAATAATATAACACCACAAGAATGAACAATCCCAGGATCATGGGCCAGAGCTGGCACACAAGAATATTTTGCTTGGTAGGACTAAAACTTTTCACAGCTTCTTAAACTGCAGCTCTTAAAACAAAATAAGGATATAATTTGGGAATTGTCTTTTCCACAGATTTTCCCTTAACATAGAAAACATGAAACCAAACCATTCATTTTATTGAAAAAATACATTTAAGTCAACATCTGTAACCAATGTAACATTTTAATAAAAATTGTACACCATAATTTTCCTATTGGAAACCCAGTTATGAGTCATTTCCTTGTTTTCATTATTGAAAATCTTTTTCACTTCCTTCTCACTTTGGTAGACTTTGTTAGCACAGCATAATGTTAAATTAAAAAATGTTTAAGCAGGTAAGCTTTGAACATAAGGACTACTTCACTTCCAGTTGCATGTTAAATTCTTACGTTGTTTTTTTCTTATGTTTATTATTTTTTCTGCTTAAATTCTCCTTTAAATTAAAAATATATTCAAGAAAAAAGTAAGATCTTTTTACCTACTACTTGAATCTTGCCGATGTTTAGCAGGACCTTATCAATTCCAAGCCTTTAGCAAAAGAAATTCTCCACACTTAGCACCATGCAAAATAAGTGTTCTTAAAAGTCATTCAAATGGATTTCTATAATATACACTTTATCTTCCAGCTTCAGTTCCAAACATAATGGATTTCTCCCTGTTTATATTAACTCGCCAGAATGTGACGCATCTGCACCTCGGCGTATCAAAAGCAGTGGCTTGTATTGCTACTCTGTAAACCTGGAGAAGTTTAAAGAGATACAGAACAAAGTCCTTGAGAGCTCCATGGAATCAGAGGTCTTGAGAAAAGTAGCTGAAAAGAAGAAAAGCTCTTGCAAAGGAAAATAGTCTCTACATCTTGCAGTGAGAGCGAAGGCAAAGCAGACCAATGCAAGCATGGAAAAGAAGGGAAAGCCTTCACTGAGAATGTCTGTTCGAAGAATGCTTTGCTGTCCTCTTGACTGAAACCAATGAGAAATTGAAGAATTCCTCACTGGAGTGCAAATAGGAAATCCACAGACTGATGGTTCATAGCATATTTATTTCTAATTATGTTCTTGAGAAAAAGTCTGTATGTTTGGAATTTATGCAGGATTTAAAAGGATTTAAATCCTTTCAAAAGTCACTGCTCTCCAGGTTCATACTTCCATGAGAGAAACAAAATATATTACAGATTGGATAATGTTATTCTGTAATCATAATAGCATTGTACAGAGCAAAGTCACATGTCATCATTCATTATTTTAAACCCCTTTAGTTAATATTTTTTAAGTCCTCCACTCGTATTAAGAAGCTTGAGCTTCTTGGCCGAGTGAACCAGGTGTTTAGACAAAATGTTCTGGTACATGTTAGACAACTCCACATTTAAAAGGCCAACCTGCCATGTTTCACACTGGGTATGAGTGTTTTCTGAACACTTCTTTACACTATTGAGCTGGTCCAAAAAGTTCAATTTTCTTTTAATCTGACCATAAGACATGGTTAAATTGTCATTCATTAGTAGTTTAGCAACTCCGAGTTGGCACTTTTTGTGATTTGTCCTCAGAACAATTCCTCCTTTGTATCCTGAAGATGTCAGCTGGTGTTTGGGATCTCCAGCAGTTGCCTTTAGATCTACTGTTGCCTCCAAAGCCACTAGTCTCACAGCAAATTGTGGCCAGACACACTTGTGTCCTCTTCCTGGCAGAGGTGCCACTGTAACAGTAGCCTTATTTTTTTAAATAATAGACTACAGGTCGATTTAAACTTTTTTTTTATTCTTATGTTACCATCCTCCAACTTGTGGAGATCAATGACCATTTACTTGCTGCCTTTAAGGTCTGTGATATGAGCTGATAATGATGCTACTACTGAGTGTTTTCTATCTCCTTTTATATCCCAGGGAAACAGGAAACCTTTAGAGACCCCTATGTAGTTCTGGAGGCTTCAAATGCACTTCCAAAAGGCAGCATGTGATTGTAGACTTGTTTTTGTTGGATTTTATTTAAAGGAATACTGTATGCATGCAGTACTGTTATGATTGCAATATAACATTTTCGTTTTTAACTGTTCATTGTTATACGCTTTTGTTAGTATTTCATCAGGAGTATTTATAAATCTGGCTCTATGCACAATATCTTTGGTTTTGTTGGCATATACTGTAGAATGAAATATCTGTCAGAAACCTAATGGGAAAGGCAATTCCTTGAACTTGCCACTATATGCTGTGATAACTAGAAACTGAAACTTCCATCCATACGTTCCTTGTAGAGAACTGTGGAAGGTTTCAAGAACATAGTCTTGTTGCTCATGTAGTTTAAAGAGTCATTTTACCTTGCTTGTGATTTTCGCTGTTAACATCTAAACGGGGGTGTTAGAAAAAGTTTTATCAGGGTTCACTAATTATGCATCACAGGATGAAATATATGGACAACACACTGCAACATCTATAGAAACAGATTGGTTGTTACTGTATCAGGACAGGAGAGTTAAATTTGGAAGCCTTGGATTTGGAAATATTAACCAATTTCTTGTTGTCATAACTGAAAGTATCTCTCAATGAATTCTCATTCTGTGTTTTAGCATTATCGTCTCAATCTTTTCTGAAATTCAGCCCAGACGTTTCTCCTGATTGGGGAGGAGAGGTTTCATTTAAGGAGATAGAGTATTTTGAAATATTCAAAACACAGTTCCTAAAACCTGAAATATTAGTTAGTCTTTGTACATATGTGCCCAGTGTTTTTTTGGGTGATTCGTGAGAATTGTTGCCTTTGTTGTTGTATTTCAAAATCCTTTTCGTGGCAACACAAATCGTGATACTGGCATGTTCAAGTAAAAGACAAATGCACTTTGTCAAAAGCTGCTTGACCTTTGTTCAAATAAGTTTAATTGTCTTCAGTGGAGTCAGGGCAAATACAAAAATATAACCACTTAATGTGACCATATTTCAAAAACTATTTCAGATGTTGATTATTTTTTGGCCTCAATTTTGCAGAAAAATGTAGGTGCCCAATTTCAGGAAATTCTGAGATGGTAATGCTAAACTATAATCAGGTTAATTTCTCATAACATGACCCTGAATTTGTGATACATTGTGATACATTGGAAGAATGTACATGAAGGATTTAGCAAAATGTTGCATTAGTTCATTTTCCTCTGAAAATAGAATATGAGCCATAGAAATGAAGAAATTAAAAGCAATATACACAATAGTAACCATTTATTGTAGAGTTAAGTGCATACATACTATTATAGTATAACTGTTGTGATTCATTTCAGTCAATTATAATATTAGACAGATGTGTGGTCTTAAATTCCCTACTCATAAAATGAATTTGGCTTAATTTACTAAAATTATTTTAAAAGGAGCTACTTTGATGGGATTGGTTCCTCTGTAGTTTCCTAAAATTACAACTTCAATCTTTAAATGGAACATCAGAAGTGATTTAGTAATGTTCATAAAGTTTGTGCTTGAATCATTTCTTATTCTCTCTGTCCAAGACCATACTGTGTACCAGGAGAGTTACAGTTTTCTCTTCTTACACCTGGACTGTGGATTGCTTTGCTTTAGGAAAAGTACGTATGGTTTTGCTCTTGGCTTTCGGTCAAGAGAAATCCATGTTGTATCCTGTGCAATCTTAGTTCTTAGGATTATGTATAGTTTATCACTTATAAAGGCCATTCTCAAGTTCCTTATGCTGACATTATGCTCTTCCCAGAAATGCATTTAGGACTTAAATTGTTTTTTGAATTGCCCCCATCAGTGGAGGCATTGTCTAGAAAAAACAGCTCTAAAACTTTGAGTTTGGTTGTAAAGTGAATATAATGGATAACCTGCAATTACTGAAAAAACTATATTCTTGCCATTTCAATACACAGTAGACCTAACCTTCTTCTACAAATGCTACCTGGAATTTTTTTATTCTTTCTTTGGAAGATCTATTCATCCTCCAAGAAACTCTTGGGGCATTGGTTCCCCGGTGGTTTTCTTTCCTAAGAGAAAGAACAGAGCTCTTTTTCATAGATGCCTTTTATTGGTCTTGTATAGAATTGACCCTTTTGTCCTTTATGTTCTGATCTTGAAGTCTCTCTTCAACTTAAGAGTGTGCTCCCTTAGGAAGTGGTACAGGTTTGATACAAATTACATTTCCCTTTAATATTCTTTCAAGCTAAATGTGTACTCAAGTTCACCATATTTGCACATGGATCCCACATGCTGAGAATGCTTTAATAAACAGTACACAGTACAGTCTGAAAATACAGCAAAGCTTATTTTCCATATAAGTGTTCGAACAGAATATGCAACTATATAACACTTTTCATTATTTATCTTATCAACCTAAAAGCTGTGTCTTTTCTTAATAATTTGTATTGTTCAGTCATAAAACCAATAAGGGAAAAGTGGTTTGTATTTGTAGGACCAAGTTGGTGCTATTTAAAGTATCTTTTATTTTTTAAATTATTGTGCTTTAGTATGACATTTTGTACAATTTTACTGTTCTTACTGTTTGTGCAATGTTTTTTATTGGATATTGTATTGAATTTATATTGTGTGAATTAAAATCTTTGGTCTTTTATTTTTATCTTTCATGGTAAATGAAAATGTGTTACTGTAGTACCCTGAAATCATAAAAGGGTTCAGACTTAGATTGGCACAGGCCACATCTTTCATCTTTTAAAGCTTGAGAGTAATGCTGTAGTGTACCATAAAGTATTCACTTATATTCAGAATATAGTCTAGAAAAAATATTTATTCTACATCAGCATAATTTGTAGCGTCCAACTATTCTTATACATTTTATTTTATGCATCACTGCAATTCTTGGCTTAATGATCTTCCTAGATATTCAGTCTCTAAATTAAAGTTGGATTAAATTTCATAAACATTATGAAATGATTTAGCATAACCATGTGACTAGACCATTTGACCATAATAAAAATCTCTCCTTAAAAATATTCAGTATGTTTGCTCATACAGTATATTTTAATGTCCCAGGGCTTCTGACCATTCAAAGGGTGTATCTGAATATAGTGGTTGGTGGGATTTTTGGTTGATAGTAGGTGCGTATATGATATTTCACCCTGTATTATATAAGCAGAAATCCTGCATCTGTATTCATAAAAGACAGCAGTGCTTTTTAATGAAACTGTACAGTGTTTTGTCCACGTGTTCATGTTGAACCACAGAATAGGCAATATGTGTGTAATATACAGAGAAAATGATCCACATTGAAGTTCTTTGCTTCTCTTTAGGTTCTGTTTTCGCAGCATGTAGTCGTGGTGAAATAAGGAACAAAGGCTCTCCTCAAATGTCTACTATCAAGATTGAAGGAGACGTGAAGTTAGCATCCATTATGTCATACAAGAGAAGATTAAAGAGAACAAAAGTGAATATAATGCAGTGCAGAGATTTGAGGCAATCTCAAAAGAAGCAGGGCTCTGATAAGAGACAAAAGAAGACTAAAGGAAGAGAGGTAACAAAGGATGAGAAAACACTGAATAGTTCTTTAATATCAGAATCTCACTTGCCTCCTCTTGAAAGTCCAGCAGCTCAGATAAGTCATGAGGCCAAAAGGAAGAGTCATGAGTACATGCACCAAAAATTAGAAGCAGAAACAAATAATTTTTACTGCAAGCTCTGCAACTTTTCCACCAATGAGACAAAGGCATTCATACAGCATATAGAAGGTCATTCAGATAACAGGGTAAGTGAACGGCCACAGAGTGACTACACATCGATGAACAGCAAACAACCACCACAGAAAAAGAGGAAAACAAAACTACTGGCGTGCAGCAAGTGTGGTTTCTCGACAAAGGAGAAATGGGACTTTGAAGCACACACAAAAAGTCACGTTGAGAAAAATGCAATTAAGAATGAACAAGATTCTAAGAGTAAAGCAAGCACCCAAAACAAAAGTGAAGTACATACTGGACAGGAAGAAAAGAAAATATATTCCTGTCAACTATGTCATGTGACTTTTCAGAGTGCCCTGCTTCTTGAACGCCATAAGAATGTACACTTGATCTCTGACACAGTGTTTTCTTGCGATCAGTGTAAATATTCTACATATAGTTCCTACAACCTGAAGTGCCACATCAGAATTCATACTGGTGAGAAACCTTTTCAGTGTAATGTCTGCCAATCTTTTTTTCGTACACTAAGCCACCTTGTTCGACATAAACGTGTACATGTAAATTCTAAGAATGAAGATTGTAATGTTAAATCCAAAGAGAGTAAGAGTATGCTTGGCAATCAGGAGGTGGATAATGGCAGTGAAAGTCGGTCATCTCTGAGCCAGAGGCACAGCTGTGAGCATTGCCAATATTCCACTAACAACACCTACAACCTGAAGTGTCACATGAGAATTCACACAGGTGAGAAACCCTACCAGTGTAAAGAGTGTCAGTTTTCTTTTCGCACTCAGAGCCAGCTCAGTCGTCACCAACGGCTTCACACATGTGTTAAGAGTGATGGAGAAACAGGGGAATCGGGGAAGGCATCTTTACCTGCTAGCCAGCAGCATAACCGGAGCCAGATAAAAAGTGAATGCTCTTTGGGGCAGGTACACAGCTGTAATGAGTGTGACTACACGACTCTCAATTCTTACAACCTCAAGGTTCATCTGAGGAAGCACACTAATGAGCGACCGTACAGGTGTTCCCAGTGTGACGCAGCGTTCCGAACTCAAAGCCACCTGTACCGACACAAGAGATGCCACTTGCCAAAAACTGAAGTTGAAGAAGATAAATCAGATTGAAGTTGTATTTCTGAAATTCTGCAGTTTATTTAGACCAAGTTTGAGGTTATTTGCTAGGTCCTAAAATGTCTTGGTTTCTGTTATCATTAAAATAGTAATTTGTGGAGTAAATCTTTAGCAACATATGTTCCCTTTTGTTAAAATTGAAACATTCTTGGATGTTGTTTAGAATATTAGGTACTGTATACAAGCTTACTTGTTCTAGATCCTTTTCTTTTTTTCAGTGACAACTGCCAAGTTTCCATTTTGTCTCATTATATCTGTCTGTAAGAAAAGTCTCAGGACAGACATGAGTATAGAAATAAGTATGATTTACTGACTGACACTATGCACCTCTGGGTATTAAAAGTATTGTCTGCACCTAGTAACAAATTTATATTTTTTAACTAAGACATTGTATTTTAGAGTTTAAATATAAAACTTAAAATTACAAAACCGTAGAACTATTGCCAGTATTACTACTAAAACAAACAATAATAATACAGTATGTAACAATATTGCTATTTTATTATGGACAGAAACATAATGTACTTTTATTTAACTTCTCTAAAGTATGCGTTGGTTACCAGAAAAAAAATGAATATCATTCAGATACTGTTCAGTGGAAGATGGGACAAAAAACAACATAGTGTAGAAAGATATTACTTTTTCTGAGCTTCAGATCTTTTTCGTTTTCAATAAAGTCCAAGCTGGACATAACAGTCATTGTTTTCAGTAATCATTTTTCATATGAAGGGGCCTAATTCTGTGCTTTCACTTTCAGAAAAAAAACTTGCATTGTCTTCTTTTTTTAACACTAAACAAAAAGCACCCAGTCATCAGTTACTTCAGTTTAAATTGCCCTTTTCACCTTTAAAACTAATTTGCATAACCCTTCATTACATTCCAACACAGTTGGCTATATTAAGGACCTCAGTAATAGCTAACATCCAGTATTAATTTATCCTATTTGGCGGTGAAAAGAAACTCCTTTTGAAGCATTCCACTGAATAAAAAGCTGCAATCTGCAGCCAGACAATTTTTATGGATGACATGCCTTTGATACTGTTTAAAATATCAATAGCCCTGCTTAAAATTTAATTAATAAAATTTTAATTTTTTTAAATATTTAAAATTGCTAAATTTGTATGTATGTCTTACCATTTTGTGAGGTCCTTGCTGAAAAATCTCTCTGGTATCAGAGCTGCCTGGTTTAATCAGAAAAGAAAACATTGTCCAAAAATGTTTAGTAATCCTGAAATCTGAAAAAAAAATTATATTAATTTAAAAAAATTATATTAATAAAAATTATAAGTATTCTATTTTATGCTCCATATTCAGCAACACAGGTTGTGCAATGGTTTGAAAGTTTTTAATATGTTAGAAATAGTGGAACATTTTCAATGTGTCAATAAAAAATGGCAAATTTTGCAAGAAATGCCTTCCACCTTTCAAAAAGACCCATAACAGTTTGATCTGCACCCTCAAGACAGGCTGAGTTTATTCATATGCATTTTGATGACTTCACAATTGATTAGTTTCACCTGTAATTCTGCTTATGATCACCAGATATTGCTAAATTTACTAATAATTAATCATCCTTACCCTTATATGGCACTTTCCTAAATGAAATTAGTCATCCAAATGATGGCACCTTTTTTACAATGTAGTGCCATTTAGTACTGGTGAATTAGGACCCACACAGGCTGTAGGGTAAGGACTCCTTACTTGTCCCACTAACACCTCTTCCAGCAGCAACTTTAGCTGTCCCAGGAGGTCTCCCAACCACTGGCCAAGCATACTCCTGCTTAGCTTCAGTTGGTTTCAGTTGTAAATTGCTAGGTAATATTGCTGCTGGAATCAAATGAACACACTAATTATTAATATTGTGGCGAATCGTCCGACTCGGAGTGAGGGTGGGAGAGAATGAGCCGACAGGTGTGTAGCAGCAGTAAGGAGAAGGATTTATCGGCCTTTTGTATTCAAAAGGTGTGCTAGTCGCTGGCAGATGGGGGATGGAAGGAAGAGCATGCAGCTGCGAGGTAACTCCTAACATGCCACAAGGGAAAAGAGGGAGAATGCTTCGGGGTCCCCCATTATTTAGCTCTTCTGGGAGGAAGGGGAAACTGCTGCTGGGAAGGGGCTGAAGGGCGATGGTTTGGTCCACTGCCGGGGGGGGGAAGAGGAACACTACAATATTTATTGATAGATTATAAATATAATTATAAGTATTCTATTCCTAATAATTATTACGACCCACGCATAACTCATGCGCATAACGCATAAGATATCTCAGATTCGTCACACACTGATTGGGAAAGTTCTGCTTAGTAATCTGCCTAGGTCTTCAATCCTTTACCAAGCTATCAAGCGCCCCTTTAAAGCTAAATCTGTAAGATTAATAAATTCTATTATTGTAGACCCATCTCAAGTCTTAATTGTGTGAGCTGCTATTTGATGTTTGATCTTCTGAAGTGTCTTGAGTCTAGGTCTATGCATGTGTACTGGATTTTGATCATCTGAAGCTTTTAAGAGTTGAGTGTTGTGACGTAGGAGCAGAGTTTGATATCCAAGCCCCACTAATCAGATGTTCAGCTGGGAAAGAAAGAAATTGCTTCACCTGTTAAAATCTAAAGGAATATTATATAAACTAGACCGTACAAAACAAAAGTTCAATTCAGGTCAGGTTAATATCCACGAATGTTTGAAAAGTTGAAGTAATCTTTAATGACCAATCAGTCAATAGTTCAGTGTCACATATTCAGAGGAAACCACCTACTGCAAAACAGTGTCTCCGGTCTCCATATTGGGGCATCGGTTTCAGAATGTCTTACAGGGCAGTGGTCTACCTACTGGTAGAGGTCTGTCATCTCAGTACTGACTACACCCAGAAAAATACAGTATTTTCTCAACTGGGTGCACAGATGCTTTCCAGCTGTTTTCTAACAGCTTTTCCAAATAAAAATTACAGGGGAGCCGGAGCTCATCAATCAAATAATGGGAGCAAGGCAGAGTACACCCTGGATGGGACATCAGTCCACCGTAGGGCATATACAGATATAGACACAGATGTGCATACCTAGATCTAATTTTCTCAGAAGCCAATTAACCTACCAGTATGTGTTTGGACTGTGGGATGAAACTGGAGCACTCAGAGGAAACTTATTCAAATACAGGAAAAACATACAAACTCCACGCAGATAGCACTTCAGATCCATAATTGAATCTAGGTCCCCAGTGCTGTGAGGCAGCAATGGTACCCACTGCACTGATACCTAGTGCAATGCTAGCCACCTGCACTGGTATTTTATTGAACAGATATGACACAAGTAACATCATATTGATGATTAACATTTTGATCAGAAATGGGACTTGTGAAAACCACATGCTATCAGTATGTGTATCCACCACTGGAAGCAGTACAAGTAGTACTGTACATATGAGATACAAGCATCAGGTTACATGTTTTGTGGGATCCTGCCCCGTTCCTCTCAGAACTTGAATAAGCATATGCCTGTTGCCTGGTCTTTGAACCCTAGATACCACATTATGTCCTAGCCTATCCCACAGATGTCCAGCAGGTCTCAAATCTGCCAAGCAGGGCATCCAAGGCATTGTTGTCACACAAAAAAGCCGTTGTTGCATGTGCAGCACGAGGACATACATAGCCATGCTGGAATATAGTCATACCAGGATGAGTGTTCAGGAAGTGTGTCTAAGACTTTAGGGCTCGATCAATGTACAGCACCACAGAGGTGCGCAGTCCTGGTCCTGCAGGTTTTCATTCCAACCCAGCTTTTGCTTTAACGTTCAGTCAGTCTATTTAGTGCCTTAGTGTGACATTTTCTCAGCTTTTTTTTAATGTTCTGGTGCTATTGCTTGAAGAGACCTGACTCACTGAACCTCAAGGGCCAGCACTGGCCATCCCTGCTGTATTGCCATGTTCGGTTACCATTGTTGTAACAGACAAATAAGTTCTGGATCCCGAGATGAAGTTTGAACAGATGAGTTTTATTGTATGCAAGGAACAATAAAACCGAAGTGTTGTTCAAAATATCGGTACAAAACATCCAGTTTATATAGCACTTCTCAGCCGCTTCTGACGTAACTCGTTACCATGATAATGGGGAGAGGTCACGGTGTTTGGACAGTCCCCCAGGCTTTGACCACTCTTAATGGTCAGTTTTAGGTTTCCTTCGTTGGGGGGGAGGGGAAGGAATAAGTTAACCCCTTCTTCACATCTTATATCTTTCTTCACCATCAAGTGGACTACTGTAATCCCGCTATGTCATTTCCTCAGCCTAAGTATGAAGTTATCCCATAGATAACATCATCTGCTTGTTTTGTTAAAATTAAAATTGACCTATCTTCTGAAAAAAAAAACCATGGTGCTTCTATATATGTGCTTGTATTTAAGTGAAATACTTTCACATAAAATATTGTCACAGCACCACAGTTCCTCAAAGAAACACAAATTCTTCAGGTGTTTATAGATCCTGCTCTTCTCCAACCCCTCTGACAGCCTTGGCACAGACACACCCACATACCTGCTCGGTGCCTGCTTTATTCTGCAGGTGTCACAGTAGGGACAGGCATCAGACATGTCTGGATTTAAAATGGGCATGAAGCAGTTAATGGGCAAGATTGGTGTACGGAATACTCCGGATGAGTACGGATGAATTTTCTTCTGATTTCCCAAACATGTTCTCTAGGGAGAGGGAGACAAACTGCTAGACCTGGTGCATAGATCGAACATACAGCCTGTACAGAGGTTTCCCCTCATCTTAAGGCCCTAGGCCCTTCTCCCAGGTTAATGGGCTTATGTCTTGTTAAGCCCATATTGATTTTCTATGTTTTTCTCTCTTGGCTTTTGACAAGCTTGACATTCTAATTAAGACTTGACTTGTGCCCAATCAATTCTCTCATTAATAAGTTGATTTAGTGCTTATGCCACAATCCAAAGTCACCCGAGTGTATCACAGTTAGTCATGAGTGATCAATTATCCAAAAAGATGGTAAAAACCTTTAATCAATATTAAAACCACGGCAATGTGTTAGAGCAGGTATACAATGATTCCAGGTATTGTTCATGTCTGTAATGAAATTATAGTAAAGCCCATATTTCGAAAAAAAATAAACAGCAGTTAAATATTTGTGGCTGATATAGATACTTTGATATACAGTAAGACATATGAGACCATATGATACAAGAATTCACAGGAAAGATAAAGCTGAATTGCAAATTACAATTATCTAGCAGTGTCTACTCAGGCATGCACCTTGCTATCGAAGTAAAAAGCACTTTCTAATCTTCAACCTCTTGCTCACTAGCCAAAGCATTCAGGGATGAAGATTTTAAAAATACTACTATCAACTCCATCCTCTTGCCTTTAGAACAGGAATACCAAATCTAGCATTGCAGTTTGAAAATGGAAGCTCAGTTAAGTTCTAAAGGTTTACTGTGGTAAATGGGAATTATAGGAACGGCATGGAAAACCACGATCCAAACCTATAAGCCTCCCAAAGTAGAGATTTTGGAGTAAGAGATAACGGTGAGAAAATCAAGAAAATATATCTGTAGCATTCTGTATCATCAGTTATGATATTAATTTTATTGAAAAGCTGAGGAAGTAACTAAAAATGAAAGACATATTCCTAAAATTCTCAAGCTCAAATAATCAAAGATATATTGGCTTTCTTTATTTAGTCAGTATTTTTTCCTAGGG